TACAGTATTACCGTGCAAGTATATTTACCTGTCTCTTATACACATCTAGATGTGTATAAGAGACAGATCCTGGACAGGTACAGGTGTAAGCGACACAGGAACCAGGAACAGTGTTACAAACACCCCCATTTTGACACAGGTTAGCACTGCATGGATTGACAGCTGAAATTAACAAAATTAATGATAACCTACATCTAATTTTAATGAATGTAGATTCTTAGTACATTAGACTATAGTACTTCAATTTTGTCCTCTTCCAAAATCTAATGTATATACTATGTGATGCTAAGATTCGTGTTCATTAAAAAATCTGCAACCATTACAAACTACTGTACTATCTGTTATAATATTATTCTGATTGTTGCTGACAAAACACAGCATCTCTGCTACCACACAACCACCACCAATGCAGTTCACTGGTAATGCTCATAACTCTCGGACAAAACAGTGTAATAGAAATCAAATTCTGTTTGGTGGGGTTAAAAAAAAAACAATTCTCAATTTGTGTCCATGGCCCACATGTATGGAATAATAATAATAATAAATAATAATAATAATAATAAATAATAATAATAATAATAATAATAATAATAATAATAATAATAATAATAATAATAATACAGTAGTTAAAAATTGCTGACTGACCAATTTTGATTTGCAAAAGCCTCAGTACTTGGGCTAAACAACAAATTTTATTTATCATCACCACGGAATAAATCAACTTTTTGACAGGAATATAATACTGAATTTCTTACCTGTTTCACAAAAAGTTCCTTGGAAACACGATGGACAGGTACAAGTGTAAGCAGTACAGGAATTGGGAGCACCAACACAAGTAGCTCCATTCTGACAAATGTTGTTGCTACAAGCATTCAAAGCTACAAAAAAAAAATGATTCAACCAATTATTACAATTGCAATCGTAGAAAAAGCTGATGGTTGGGGGGTCGTACGAGTGAATTATCAATGAAAACTATTGCACAGACCCATTGCATTGTCTGCTTTATGGGATTGCCACTCGACGCTGTCAGGCCCGTAGCCAGGGGGGTTTTTAGGGGTTCGGGCGAACCCCCCTTTTTCAGCGAACCCCTTTTGCCAGCGAACCCCCTTAGCCAGAAAACGATCCCCCGTTTCCAAAATAGTGCAATTTATTACAAAATGGGAGCATTTTTGGCACTGTTTATTTGTTGCTATCGATCGTAGTCCATCGTAGAAATCAAAACAAAGCTGCAGCCAGCTGAATGACGTAACCAGCAAGACTTCAAAATGAATATCAATGAGAGGTTTGTTGCCTAGGCTATTTGACCAATCGCGTGCTCCGGAGTTTATTTACTTTGGCACGACGTCATCACAAAGTTTGGGCGCTCGACATTTTTCATTTCTCTGGGATCGAGGACTTGCGACACGCCAAAAATAGCCTAGGAGGATGAAGCGCCGAGAAAGGATAACCGATTTTTTTGCTTCAAGGCCAGCAACGAAGAAATCACGAAATTTAAGAAGTTAGAAAATTCACCCTTGTTTTCACCACAAGCTCATGATACTGCCTGGCGGCGGGACCGGTGTACTTTTTCGGGCTAGGCCTAGGCCCTAGGTCTAGCGTTGCTAGGCCTAGGTAGGGTAGGGTCGTAGCCTATGAGGCCTATTATTTGCAAACGATTTTATTATTTATTTTGTAATCGAGCTAGCATAGGTCAGGGCCTAGGCTAGCAAGGAAATATACTTGGTAATGTTTTCACGTTTCGTCAGAATTAACTGACATTATTCATAATAATATATTTATTATTTTTTCTCAATATATCTCATTTAAACCAAGACAGTAGTCTTAAATTATTGTTTATTTTCACTGTGCTAAGTTTTTTTTACATAAACTGGTTCTTAAACATGTACATTTGTAGCATTATAATTATGTCTGTTTTTTTTTCAATACAGTATTACCGTGCAAGTATATTTACAGAAATGGTTCTGTAACTTGTAAATATAATAACATTTTTCCTTGCCCTAATTATATATATTTCCATTGGAACTTAACATTTAAGTTATTTTGGTAAAAAAATAAAATGTAGGGCTGTCAGTTCCTATTGTTTCTTCATTTCTGCAATAAATAAAATATTATTTGCAATATTTCTCTTTTAAGCAAAGACCTTTTACATACCTCCATATTTTAATATTGGTATTTAGCGATCTCATAATGTGCAAGGTCTGTGTTTTGTGCAGTCACCTAGTGGGAGATTGCTAATTTTATTCCAGTTATATTTTAGAGATAACATAACATAGTAGCATTAAAATGTTAAGTGTTACTATTTAATAAAAAAAAAAAAAAAGTTGTTTCACAATAAACATTTACGTTCTAAATCCTGTATTGGAAAAAGTAGTCTTCTTATCTTATTTTTAAAATTGTGTAAGAAGTATTTAAATATACATGAACATGCATTTAAATGACTTGTACATGCTTTTAAAATCGTATTAATACTCTGGCTTCGGGGGCTTCGCCCCGGCCCCCACAGGGGCTTAGGCCCCCCTTGACCCCACCCAGGGCCCTTTGGCGGGCCCCTGGACCCCACGCCCAGAACCCCCCCCTTGAAGCATGCTGGCTACGGGCCTGACTGTGCTGGCAATAAAAGCAAGGCTATATGATTAAGATGCGGGACAGCTGCAACATATGTTTTGGTATATTTCTAATGTAATGTAATTGGATTTATATAGCGCTATTTACCGTCTCAAAGCGCTCAAGGTGTGGACTAGCTCACACATTAACTTTCTTTCTCCCTCATTAACTTTCTTTCTTCCTAAGGGTGTCTTCGTGTCTGAGCTACCCAGTAAACCAGTACCAGCTCTCTCTCGTCTGTCCACAACAGGGGCTGTATGAACCTGTACAACGGAGTAACCCCTTACTCGTCTCAAAAGATGTACTGGGTTCTTTATAGTGTACACTAGCATTGTGTCCATTGGGCATATGGTTTATAGTACTGTACTTATCTGAGCAGACTACTGTTCCACCACCAGAATCCTGTCAGCAGGGTGATGTACCCCTCTGACACAAGGGACAAAAGCAACTGAAATTGTGCCTCAACAGACCAAAATAGATTACAATTACTTTTAATTCATGTGTAATGTAGTCTCATTTACATGCACTTTAGGTAATGCCTATGTCAAAACGCCGCTTAACATTGTCGCTTCACAAAGCTGATTATTGACTGATAGAGACTTACCCGTTTCACAGAAAGAGCCGCTAAAGCAACCACTGCAGGTGCAGGTATAAGCAGTACAAGAACCAGGTGCAGCATTACAAGCCCCTCCATTCTGGCAGAGGTTGTTAGAACATGCATTAACAACTATAAAAAGAATGTATTTAATTACACACTTATATAAGTAGTAATAATTCATATATATGTTTTTTATTTA